CTTATATTTTTTTTTAGATATTTTTAATCAATAAACTCAAAGCTTTTATTTGTTTATTAAAATATTTATGTTATATGAATTTTTAAACTATTTTAATAAAACAAACAATAATAATGTTCAAAAACTCAGAACCCATCATATATTTTTTTATCATTTAAACAGTCTAAATAAATAGAAAATAGCAAGCTAAGAATAAGCTTAAAAATCACATGCATATATTAAGTTTAAATTTTAAAATTTATACAAAGATATTATAAAATTAGCATATAATAATAATTTTATTTAAAAAATAATTTAATTCGACATTATTATCGTATTATATTTGACAACTAAACATTTTTTTTGATACAATTAATTAATATATAAATTTTATTTATGTTAATAATGCATTAAACTAATTTACGGTAATATTTTATAATAAAAAAATTTTCATAATTAATATATTTACATTAATATATATAAAACAACGTAAAATCTACTTATTAAGATTATTAACAATTTAACTATTTAACAATTAAATAAGATTAACATTATATTGTAAATTTAATTATATTTAGGAGTCTTTTAAATAAATGCGTTTTAAATTGATTTATTATTATTAACTTAAATATGTAAAAACAAAATTTAAATTTAATTTTTATTTTATATTTATATTTTTTAAAATATTATAAATATAAAAATTTTTAATTATTGCATATAATATATATCTTAAAATATATTTATTAATAATATCTTCAGAACTCAAACATAAATATCATTTTTATTTTTTAAGAAAAAAATATTAATCATAATATTTTGATATTTAATAATTTAAATATTATTATTATTATAAACATCTTTTTTAATAATATTTTCTTAAATTACCTTATTAACATTTTACTTTTATTATCTATTTAAATTGTTGTTTGAAATTTTGCACATAAAAATAATTTTTAAGGTAATTTATCTATTAAATTAAAAATATCTTACATTTCACAGGTTTTGTTAAATTATTAAAGTATATAAATATACATTTTAAATTTAATTATTTTATAAAAAATACATTTTTTTTTTCTAATTAACCTGAAAAATCATCTTGGGTAATTTTTAAACTAGTTTTATTAATAATATTTAAGGTTATATATATTAATTTATATTTACTATAAGTAAGTATAATTAAGTAATATATTACAATTTTGTTGATTTTATATTTTAAATAAGAGTAGAGAAGTTCCGAAATCGACTAAATTAGATTAGATATTTTCATTTTAAATGAAAAAAATCTCAGATCAAGAAATTTATTTATTTCAATTTTTTTATAGTAAAACTTATCTAAATTTTTTATTTTAATGCATTATAATCTTAAAATAAATGTGAAATAATTTTAATTTTCTTAGAACTTCTAATTTATTCTAAAATTAGATACAAATTAAAAAACTGTTATCTATTTTATAAAAATAAAATTAAATATATAAGATAATTAAATATATTTTTATTTTTATTATTTTTTTATCAAAATTTAAAATATTATATAATTTTTATAATACTTTAGCTTTTCATATTAATATTATTATTTTAATATGTTTTTTAAGTCAATTCAAAAATAATAAAAAAGACCCGAAAAAAATTTGAGCTTTTTTTCTTTTTTATTGGGTTTTTAAAATAAATTAATTACCCACTAAATTAAAAATGCAAACCAAATCTATTAAAAAGGTAAATCATAAAATATGAATTAGAAAATCTCTTTATAATATATTAAATATATATCTATATTCGAAGAATTAATTTATTTTATTTCACAATTATAATATAATAATTATATTTTTTTATAAGTTAAAATATACAGATATCATTTATATTTATTTTAGCTTATAACAAATAAAGTTAAGTATTAATAAAAAATAATTAAAATTATAATAATTATTGAATTTTCAAAGTAAAATAAATAATAATTATTTGAATTTATATCAATGCAATTTATATTAAATATTTAATTTGAATGTTTATATAAAAAATAAGTGAAAAAAAAACATTTTTTAAACATTAGATAATTAATTGTCTTAAGATAACATATTTTTTTATTTTTTTCTATAATTTATTTTAAAAACTAAATCAATGAAAAAGAAAAAAGTAAAAAAATGGATAATGGTCTTTTTTTATAGATTGAAATTTTTGAAAAATTTAATCATCAAAAAAAGTAATTTATTTATATTTCTTAATGATATAAATATATATTCATATTAATTATCTCATTTAAATACAATTTTTTTTTTTTAATTTATTAATTATCTAATTTATAATCAAATGATTATTTTGAATACATCTATGTAAAATTTTATTATTATTTGTTTAAATTTCTTTAATTAATTAATTATCTCATATATAATAAAAAAATTATCTTAAATACATTATTGTAAAATTTATTTTTATTTGTTTAAATTGTAATTTTTATTTAAAGATTGAATATTTATTATTAAAATTTCATTGTTTGATTTTTTTTAAATGAAATGATAACACATAAAAAATAAATTCATAATTTTAGTTTTGAAAAAGCCATACAATTATATTTAAAAATTAATAACAAATAGGTTATTTAATATAATTTCGAAATTCATAATATATTATATATATTTTAATCAATTTTTTTATATCAATAATCCTAAGTTATTTTTTATCATAAGAAAATATAATATAAATAATGAATATTTATTATTGTTCACGAAGTTAAAATTAAAACTGAAATAGAGAAGTTATTTTTTTTTTTTAATATATAAAACACATTATTTATATATCAAAAATGGAATAAAAATTGTTTCTAATTGTTTATTAATAATATTTTACAATATATTTTTTACACAAATTATGAATTTTAATTAAATATTAACAAAAGAGAAATAAAAGAATTTTGTTTTCAAATATATAAAATAGAAAGAAAAACATAATAAGCCTGATTATTAATAAGGTAAAAATAAAAAAAAGAATTAATTATTGAGAAAAGACCTGCAAAAAGAAATATAGTCTAATTTAAAGTGATAGCACAAATTAAGGTAATAAATATAATTGTGATAATTCAAATTACGTTTATGAATGTCAAAATGTGAACTATTAAACTCATAATCTTATATATAAACTTAGAATAATAAGTAAAATATTGAGAATAAGAAGCATTAAATTCAAAATAATAAGCATAATAATTATGATACCCCAATAAATATGTATAAAACTAAATATAATATTGATAATAATAATTATGAAACCTAAAATATTGATTATGAAAATCGAGAAATATTCGAATTAATACTATATTACCTCGATCAAATTTGTTATTTTTTGAATATAATCTTCAACATAAAATTTTTAAAAAAATCTCACTATATTTTGTTTTATATAATTCTATTAAATACAATAAATATAATTTATATTTTATTTTAAATAAAATTACTTATATTTTATGATTTTAAAATATTAATTTATATTAACATTATTAAATTTTATTTCAAAATATTATTTTATTAATTTATTCTTTTATTTTTTTAAATAAAGATATTTCTTTCAATAAAAAAATTATGAACTTTTATTTATTTATTTTATATTTTTTAAAAACAAAATTAAATTATAAATAAAATAGTAAAAACTATTATATATCCTGATCTTTAAAATCTAATCTTGAAGCTTTTTATTTCTGAAAAATATTGAGAAAATAAAATAATCATTGTAAAAATTGTCAATTTTTGAACTTTTTTTGGAAAAACTGTTAACAAAAAATATTACCAAACAAAAAAATTAAAAAAATGATTATTATGAAATTAGAAATAATAAGTAAGAAATTTTAAATAATAAATATATTATTCCAAATAATAAAAAAAATATCCAAAAAGAATTATTAAAACATTACAAATAATAAATGATTTAACTTATTAGTAATAAATCCCTTAGAAAGCCATAAAATAAATAGCATAATCAATAATCTTTAGAAAGAAAAAATAACTGAAAATTAATAAGTATAAATAGAAAAGACTCATCATAAAATAAATGAAAAAATCTAAAAATATTAGCTATATAATTCCATATAATAATATAATAATTAAGATAATAAAACCTATATAATTTTAGAATACTTTTAAAAGTATTAACTTAGAAAAATTAGGGTTTTTTACCTAAATTTAAACATGTCTAAAGTACTTAAAGTAATATTTAATTTAATTAAGGTATAGATATCACTAGATGGCCAAATGATAAGATTAATCTAAAAACCTTATATTTTTATTAAGTAAAGAATTTTAATAAAACCCTAATTCATAAAGCTATAATATTGGTTTATAAGGTAGAGCTACTATATCTTCTATCTTCAGTGAAAAACTTTTAGTCAGTTTCAGATGAAGGAAAAACTTGATAATGTGGTATTTAATTAGGTAAAGATGATAAAGATGTCTTTAAAATGAATATCCTTATTCGATTTTATAAATTAGCTGTTTGATGAAATTCCTTTAATTATAAGCTAGTTGTTGACTTGATTTGTCTGATTATGTTTTACCTTTTATTAATTAAGTTAAATAAATATTTTTTAGATTATGATTATCGTATAAATAATTATATTATTTAAATTTATTATTTTTAATGATATATTTGTATTCATTAATTTTTTAATAAATTATTATATATTTATTTTATTACTATTAAATTAGATAAGATAAATTTATACTTTTTATATAATTAAATTAATAAAAGACATATTTATTTTATTTAAATATAAAATAATTTATTATATATAATTAAATAAAAAAAATTTAAATTTTAGGATATTTTATATATCTAATTAAAGAAAAAAATTTTAATTATTTTAAAAGGAAAAAATAATTTATTTATTGTAATTTATTTTATAAATTTAAATATTAATTTTTTGGAGGAAAATTAAAAAATATATAAAGAAAAAAGGGGAAAAAGTTCTTATAAAAAATTAAAATATATATTTTTTAAAATTTAAATAAACACCAAATAAAAATTAAAAGAAATAAATAAATAACTATAAATATAAAAATCAGAAAAAAATGAGCGCTAACGACGAAATTACACTTGAAGATCTTGCTAAAAAAGATAACAAAGGATAGAATAAAAATTCTAAATTTGGAAATAAAAAAGGAAGAGTTGCCGATAAAGTAAATGGGGTTAAGAAAGGAATCCGTCGTACTGGAAACTACTAAAAAGGGGTATGCTATAATAATAATTAAATTATTAACAAAATAATAATAAACTGTTAATATATGACAAAATTATTGCTTTCTTAATTATTTTCTGACTTTAATTGAAAAATAATTTTAGAAATTAAAAAAAAAACTTTTTTAAATATTTTGTCATAAATCCCATTCGTTTTTCTAATTATTTTAAAAAAAAATTCTTCCTTTTTATTTTAAATGAGATTTTTTGAGGAAAAATAAAAATAAACAATTATTGAAAAACACTTCCTTCAAAATATGAAAAAATAATAAAAATATCAAAAAAATTAAATAAAAGAATAAAGGAAGAAAAAAATATATAAAATATAATTATTATAATAATATATAAATTAATATAATTATATTTTCCTCCTATAATGATATATTAACAGTTTATTTTTACCCCTTTTTTTAAAAAAAATTAATGATTATTAACTAAATTATATTTTTAGAATAACAAAAATAACTCTCGAAGAACAAACACTAATAATTAAAATAACTAGAGTGTCCGTACTATTCCTTAACATAAAAAACGTATTGTAAAAGTTTATAATTTAGCTCCAGAAATAACAAATGAAGATTTTTATGTAAATAATAATAAATTAATTTTAATATATAAATATTTAATAATAAAGGCTTTATTTGTAAAATATGGAATGATTGAAAAGGCAAGTATTGATATGGACTAAAAAGGAAAATCTTAAGAAAAAGGAACTGTCGTTTATAGAGAACATGATGCTGCATAACGTGCTATAGATGATTTAAATGGTATATATTTGTTTATTAATTATATTTTTTTAATTTAATTTTTTTTAAATAATATAGGAGTTGAGTTAGAATAAAGAATTATTACTGTCGAATTTATGAAAGATGGAGAAACTTTAAACGGAAAAAGTAAAAATAGATTAGATGGAAATGTAGCAGTTTTAAAAAGAGGTATATTCAAAAGAAATAATAATAATAATAGGTAAAACATATATATTATAATAAAATATTTTTTTTTTTTTTTTTTTTAGTTTTAGAAAAAACAGTAATGGAACTAATAATAATGATAATAATAGAAAATTCAAAAGAAGATTAGGATTTTAGAAAAATAATAATAATAATGGAAATAGAAAGTTCAGAAACAATAGAAATAATAGAAACAATAATTGATTAATTTGAAAGATTATAAAAAATAAATATTTTATTATATATTTTAATATTTTTATTTTAATAAAAATAAAATATATAATTTTTATAATACAAAATGATAAATATTCATCAGTAAATAATTTTTTCATATTTTTATTTAAAAAATTATTAAAAATATTTAATTTAGATTTATTTATTAATAATTTAATATTTTTTATACAGTTTTATCGAATTAAAAGTTTATTTTTTTTTTTAAATACATGAAATACATATTATTATTGTATTAATTGTAATATCCAGATAGATAAGCTATTAAATAAAATTTTGATATTTTTTTTTTCCATTTATAAATATTAAATTTAAATAGATTAAAGATGAACAAAATCTTTTAAACAAAATATCCCAAAAAATAATATTCCAAAATAAACTAATCATATAGAATTAATATATTTTTTTCTGATATATGTTTAAAACTTAATAGATATATAAAATTTATTGTTATTTACAAAAGAAATATATTTATCTATATATTTAAAAAACTAAATTAAAGGTTAAACTTAAGACTATATATTTAACTAATTATTAATATCAAAAACATTAAAAATTTAATTTTTATTAAAATGAAATGAAATAAATAAATTGAAAATTAAATACAACGTATGACGATTAAAAACTAATATTAATTGAAAAATAATAATAATAATTAATAGAAGTTATAAATTAAAATAATATTTAATATTAAGTAAAATAATCTAAATAAACAATCAAAGTTATAAATAATAATTATATTAAATAAATTTTAATTTTAGAAAAAATCTAAATGCAAACCCATAGAAAATAGTAAAGATAATTTTTCATTATAGTATTTTATAAACTAAATTGATAACAGCTTTTTAAATAAAGATTCCTCTAATAAGATACTTTTAAAATAAAAGAATCATGAAGAATTTATTAAATAGTTAGATAATTTTATTCCAAATTTATAAAATAATTATAGCTAGTAAAATCAAAAGTTAATATTTTAGCCAAAGAAATCCTATTAATGAAAACAATGAGATGTAAATTCATTTAGGTTTTTTTTTTATATAAATTTCTAATATCTTAAATTTAATTGTTTATTAAAATTAAGAATAATCTATAAAATTTTTAATAATAAATAAGTAAAATTAATTGATTTAACTAAAATAGTATTAATATTGTTTCAGATAATAAAAATTATATGATTAAAAGCAAAAATTAATTCTAAATAATTAGAAAATATGATTAATTTTATATATGGAGTAATTTAATAATAATAATTATAATTAATTAAAATAATTTTATTATAAAAATAGACAATTCACTTTTCTTTTTTATTAACACAATTTTTTTTAAATAATTATAATCTTTTAATCATAATGTAAAGAATTAACAATTAAAAAAAATGAGATAACTGATATTAATATTAAAAATATTGATATATATTATAATGTTTTTAAACAATTAATTTATTAAGATTAAAATATTATAATTTAATGCATTTTTAGTCAAAGTAGCTAGCTATTTTTAAAATTTTCATACTTTTATAATTTTTGTATTATTATTATTTTTTTCTATTTAAAAATGATTATTAAGAAAAAATTAAAAATTAGATTGTAAATATTTTATTTGAAATTATAAATAATATTTCTGTTCAAAAAATTAGAAAAAAAAACAAAATAAAATGCAGAAAATTTATACTTTCTACTAATATCATGAATAATTAATTAAAATAAGTATTTAATAATGATGTTTCTAAATATTAAATAAACTGAAATATAGTATTAGTTAGTTAATGCAAACAAATATTGGAAATTTAAAATTAAAATAAAAATAAATTTTAAATTGTTAAAGAATATATATAAATGATTAAAAAAAATATATATGCAAATATTTCTATAATAATAAGAAATATATTTTAATTTTTCATTAAATATAAATAAATTAAGATTAATAATTATATTAAATATAATATCTATTATATTTAAAAATAATATATTATAAAAAAATTAAATTAAAAATATTTATTAAATATTATGTATTTATTTTAATATATAAATAATTAATAAATTTATGTCTATTAAAAAAAATATTATAATTATCTAATCTAATCTAATTTATACTTTAATTTTATAAGTGAGTCATAGAAAAAAATAAGAATTATAATTATTTATAAATTATAATTTTTTTTTTATTGAAGTTATCATATAAATTGAACATTTTTTTTTATTATGGATTTTAAATAAAAATTCAATTTTTTTAATGTATTTTTTTTATTTTATTTTTTTTAGTATTAGATAATTAATATCAATTAAAAATTATTTTTTCATTTTATTTTCCTTTTTTTAAGTATTTTAATATTAATTAAATTTAGGAAAAAATTAAATTATTAAATATATGTTTTTATTATTAATCTTAAATCAAAAATATAAAAATTTGAAATTTAAATTATTTTTATAAGAAAAGAATTTCTTTTCAAAAACTAAAAAATAAAATTTTTTGTTTGATATATATATATAATAATATTGCCTAAATATTTTGATATATTTTATCATTATTCCGATTCTTTGCAATCTTATTAACAAGTTGCGTATGAACGATGACATTCTCCAGCTCCTTTATTGAATAGTTATTTTTATAATTTTAATAAGCAGGTATATTTATTTTATTCACAGTCATTAAAACAATCATAAATCTCTTATTATTAACTATAACCCTATATTAAGAGGGTTATGAACAAGAAAAAATATATAAACTTATTCATTAGAGTGCTTTTTTATATTTTTTTATATAATAATAAAAATTAATAACAATAAAATGTATTAATCATACTTATGGATTAAATGGAATTTTTTTGAAATGTTTATATTATTTTAATAATTTTAATAAAAATAATAATTTAATTAATAAATAATAATATATTATTTTTTATAATTATATGTTTTTATATATTTTATTATTTTTAAATAAAAAAAATAATTTTTTTTTTTTACGTTTTAAAACAAAAAAATTTATTATTAATATTTAAAAATAATACTTTATTTATTTAATATTTAATAAAAAGAACAAAAATCCTTAACAATATTTAAAAATTATATTAACATAAAATTTTTCAAAAGCAAATTTTTTTATCAAACCAAAAAGAATAAAAAAATATATAAAATAAATATGAATTAAGGTTTAATTACACATCAATAACCTTAACATCCTCGTTAAAAATAGTAAAAAAGAAAGTTCTAAAAAATAATTATAAAAACAAAAAAAAAGATAAACATAAGATCAAGTTTATAATAATTATTAAAAAGTATAACAAAACTAAAATAATTATTAGACACCAACAAATAATTAATAAGCTTAAAATTAAAATATATAATTTTAAATCTAAGAATAACAAAGGCTTATAAGTGAACTTTAATAACAATTAGAATAAAAAGAAAAAGTTATTAAAAATGATAGATTTTTAAGTAATTAAACAATATAAAATTTATAAGATCGAATAAAATAGCTTGAATAAAAGCAATAAATGTTAAATAATAATTAAATGTAATAATTTTAAAAATATATAGAAGAATTAGAAGATAAAAATACAGATTTATAGTATAAATATTTAAATATATATATATATATATATATATATATATTATAATATTAATATTATTTAAAAATAAAATAAAAAATATATTTGTTTTTATAGAACAGATTTGAACAACCAAAAGAAGTTTACAACTAATCTTGAAGAAACTATAAAAGGTTTAAAAATTTCAAATACTAAATTACAGGAAGGAAACAGAGAAGAAGTTAATTAGTTAAGAAATAGACAAAAAACCATTTTGTTGGATCTTTAAGAATAAAAAAGAAAATATGATTAACTGCACTTTTATCTTTAAAGAAATGCGAAATAATATGAATTTGAAGAATAATGTATTTATTTATATATTTTAAAAATTAAAGAAAATTATTTCTTATTTTTTTACAAAAAAAATAAAAAATAGAATTTTAAACATAGTTAGAAATAAAAGATGCCTAAGTTAAAGAATTATAGCAAAAATTAAATTAGAAATAGAAAAGTGACAATTTCGAAATAAAAATTAACATGTTATATGAAGAAAATGAAAAATTAAAATCAATTATTGGAGACAAAAACAAAGAAATGGAAGTACTTCAAGACAAATGTAATAAATATTATTAAAATAACAATTCTTAAATTGAATCTATCAAGTTTACTTTAGAAAACTAATTAAAAATGGAATACGAGAGAAAATACAGATAATAAAGTGTTAATTAAGAACACTAAATTTTATAATTATAAAGGAAAATAGAAGAATATGAATTCGAATTTAACTAATAAAATGATTTAATTTTAACTATTTAAAATGAGCAAAAGAAAATACCTGTTAACAATATAAATGAGAAATAATGTTTTTTTTAAATCAAAATTATTAATTTTACAAAAAAAAAATTACATATATAAGATATAGATGAAATATAGTAATGGAAATAAAAATATGCTTAATTAGAAAATACATATAAAATAGAAAGGGAAAAATTTATGTATTAAAGTAATTAAAATTAAAGTTAAAATTAAAACTAAGAGGCAACTAATAAAATTTTATAATTAACAAAGGAATTAGCCGAATATAAAGTACATTTAAATATTTTTAATTGTTTTTTTTTTTTTTTTAACAAAAAATAAAAAAGAGATGGTATGAATAAAATTCTAAAAAACAATAAAATTAATAAGATTAATAATTAATTAAATAACTATAAATGGAAAATAATGACTACAAAAACGTTATTGAACATTATAAAAATTAATAAAGAGACTAATAATTTAATGTAATTATAATACTTATTAATTTTTTGTTAACATATTTATATTTAATAAAGTAAAGTAATCAAGAACTTGTTGAAAAAAACAAAGAATTGTAATATATATCAAATAAAAAATTATAAAAACAAAATATATCAACAGATAAATTAAGCTTAAGTAACTATCTGAAACAATTGTTGAATTAGAAACTAAATTAATGAAATATGGAGAAAGACCTGCAAAATTAGGCCTACCAAATAATTTATTATAACAAAATAATAATAATTTTAACATATTATAATCACCAACACCGAAAATAAGTTAAAATATATTATTATTTTTTAATATAATATATATTTTAATTAATATTAGAAGAATTAGATTAAAAAAATAATAATATTATAAATTATTATAACTCACCGAGCAATTACCAATTAAAATCGAATAATTAAAATTTGTAACCTATAAATAGTTAATTTGATTTAGATTTGAATAAAAATAGTGTTCAAAGTAATTTCTTTTTTCTAAATATTACAATTTTTTTTTAAATAATAACAAAGAAGAGTTTAGAAATTATAATAATGGTTTTTATAACGGAACATAATAATAATAATAAGTAAATTTATTTTGAAATGTAAAATATAATTAAGTTTAGGTATAACTAAATAAATATTGATAATACAAGTATATTTATTATTATTAAAAAGTTTAATTTATAAAAATAGATTTATAATTATTCATTTTTCTATTTATTAATAATTTATTTATTATTTTTTATAAAATTTTATTTTTTTCTCTTTAAATAATCAATTTAAAATAAATAATAAAAAATATTTAATCACATAAAATATAGTTTAAGATAGTATAACTAATATAAATGAAATTCTTTTTTTTTAATAAAATATTATATATATATATATTAAATATATATTTAATTTTTGTTAAACTAACATACTTATTAAAATGTTTATTTTATTAAAAATAATCAATTAAAATTAATAAAATTTTATTATTATTACTCACAATTAAAATAAATTTTAAAGAAATAAAATTATTAATTTAATTAAAAAAATAAACATGAGTTCTAAAAGCGAGCGAATATACTCAAATAGTAAGTAATTATTAGCATAAAAGCCAATAAATTAAAAGGAAATATCTAATTAAAATGATAAAGGATAATATTTTTACAACTATATAATAAATAAATATTCAAACTTATCTGAAGAATAATTTAATTTAATAACCAAAGGTTATTTAAGAAGTTTAAAAAGCATAAATAATATTGATATTATAAAATTAAATTTAAACTACAAAGAATATATAAATCATTAAAAATAATAAGAAGATTTATAAAAACAAAAATACTTTGTTAAGCTTTTAGATAAATTAATATGTAATCCAATGATAATAAAAGATGAAAATAAATTCAAAAAGCTAGAAAAAATAAAAGAATAAAATTATTATTAAAGTCAATAATAATATGATGAAAATAATAAAAAAACGGGAAAAAAGATTAATTTTTACTCGTAAAATTTACTAAAGAATCTCATTTTGTTAAAAGACAAAGTAAATGTACAAACGAAATTAATAAATGACAAATAATATTCATCTTAAAGAAGCCGAAAAATAAAATCTATTTTTAAAAATAATTTAGAAAACACTTTTAATTTAAATACAAAATATTTATTCAAATAACAATAAGATAATGTAAAATCAACTATTAATAATTAATAAAAAAACATAAAAAATTTAAACTATTAATTAAGTTTTGACAAAAGAAGTATTTCTATTTTTTAATTTTTATCTACTTAAAGAAAAGAAAATGACGAAATTTAAAAAAATCTCATAGATTTGGGATATAAAATAACTTCCTCTTTGAAATTTATCGAAGATAATAAAAAAAATATTATTAATCATAACACATAATATTAAGAAGAAAAATAAAAGTTCTTAACTTAACAAAATATGTAAAAAACAATAAAAGAAGATTTTTATTTTCCTAAAGAAATTAAATTATAAGAAAAAAAAGAAAAAAATTTATAAAATAAACTCAATCAATAGTTTACAATTAAAGATTTTATATAAAAAAGAACTTAAAATATAAATAATATAAGTAAAACTCTAGAAAATAATTATTAATTAGAATATCTAAAAAAAAAGCCAATAAATAAACTATAAATAAAAAAAAATAGTAATGTTATTTTCTCATAATTTTCAAAGTATAAAATTAATAAAAAAATTAAAAAAAAAAAATAATAAAAAAAAAAGTCAATAAACATCGAGAAATAATAATAGTTTTTTTTTCGAAAATAAAGAAGATTAAGAAATCAAATCGTAATTTTTAAAAGATTTATTTAATGAACAAACTGAAAAAAACAAAACTTACTTTAAAAATATTGATATTTAATAAAATTACTAAAATACACATAATAGAGACAAAGCATAACTCGAATTAATAACCATCCCGATCTAATCAACTATCAAAGATGAAAAAACTACAGAACCATATATCCAGTTATAGAAATCAAATTTAAATATCCCTAATTCACCCTTAAATTTGTCAAAATCGCCCTTAATCTCCCAAAAATCACCCACAAGTATCCAAAAACCGCTCCTAAATATTCAAAAATAATCCATAGATGAATCTGAATAAGAATTTTTTATCTAAAAACCACGATCTTATACTCTTCAAAAAGACACAAGCTATATTAAACAATTAGAAGAAGAAAAATCTCCTTTTTTTCCTTCAAAATCTGCGTTAAAACTTAATTTAAAAATAATAAAACCGAATAATTTAATAGCAGATAATGATAATGAGGAGAAAAAAAGTGCAAAATAATCTTTATTTGCCAGATAAAAAACTAAAAAAACTAAATTAATTTCTCATTTAAATTAAGATTTTGAAGAAATTATTACTTTTTTGAAAAAAGAAATATATGGAAACTCCCAAATCGATTTATTGTTAAAAAATAACTAAAAAGAAACTTTAATAAAATACTTTTAAATTTTTTTAGAAATCTCTTTTCTCGAAAAGCAAGAATTAATAGAAAAATGTGTTGAATATAAAGTTCCATAAGATCTATATATAAAAATAGAAAATATAATCATACAAATTCTCCTAAAAATGGATTATGATGAATATTAAGTGTCTATTATTTGTTCAGAAAAACTATAAATTAATAAAAAATACATATAAATAGGTTATCTATTAGATGAACTAGGCAATGCATCAGGTATTCATAAAATAGTAGTCGATAGTATGCCTTAATTAGATATTAAAATGCCTTAAATTATATAAAAAAATAAATGCCTGGAAGATAAAATTTAATTTTATTCAAAAATTATAATTGGAATATGTGAAAATGAATTTTCAGAAAACGATTAAAAAATAAAGAATATTTTTGATTTTTTCAAGGTAATATTGAAGGAATTTTCTATTTTAGAATTTTATAATTTAAAAGAAATTCTATGGACATCCCTTTTTACTAAAAAAGTCTTTAATTTATCTATATAAAGATTTATGTGTAATAAAAAAAAATATATATTATATTGAAAAATAAAATATAAATATATTAATATAGAATTATTAGAAAAAAATAGATATTTTTTAGCCCCTTCGTTAATAATTAATTAAATGATAGAAGACAAAGGGCTTTATTAATAATTATTTTAAAATTTAAATTGGAAAATAAGTATTTCTTAAAATATAGGCTCTTTTTTTTAAGGTAAGGATGATTTATTAACTTCTTTATGTCATGCTTTATTAAAAGAGCTTCTTTTTAAATAAAAAGCTAAATTCGATTTGGCTTTTTTGATTGAAAAAACAGAATTTTAGATAATTTAGATAAATGAAATTACAAATATAATATGTGAAATAATCTAATATAATGGTCTAGAAGCGCATTTTAAATACGACGTATAGATAAAAATGAAGAAAATTTGCTGGAAATTAAAAATATAGGAAAATCCATTTACAGAAAACGAAAACGAATTTAGTTAAGAACTTTTTAATGAGTTTAATAATGTTAGAAAAAAGGAAAAATACTTCGATTAGTTTATATAGAAATTCCCAGAAGAAAAATATAACTTTGTTATTGACAATAATATATCTTTACTTTAAATTTAAGGAGGAATTAAGCTTCTTTTTTCTTTTTAAAATAATTATTCTCACCTTTTGATGCTTATTCAGTTCTTGATTTTAAAGGGGGAATACTGGCCTATATGGTTAATAAAATAATTCCTATTTAATGGAAAATTTTAATTGAATTTGCACTTAAAAATTTAAATATATCATTTTATAGATAATAGGAAATCATTAATATTGTTTAATTATAATTCTCATACATTTATGAAGGAGATGATGATATTTAATTTAATTAAAGTCTTTTATCATGAAATGTATTTATTTTATATTACGTGAAATACCAAAATTTGAAAAATATAAATTCACTAAAAAAAAAACATTAAAACTTGCATTATTTTTACTTTATTTTTTTTATAAACAAAAAAAACATTAAAACTTCCAATATTTTTACCTTTTTTTATTTTCTATAAAAATCAAATTAATATAAGATATTTATGTATAATTAATCATTTTATTTTTATACGTATTAGAACATTATAAAATTTAAATGTTTCTAACAAATTTGGAGATTAAATATTGTTTTAGGGCTCAATATTAATTATTTATATGTAAATTTGATAGTTATTTACAATTAAATGATGGTATATATTTTTTGTTAATGATAATATGAGTATTAGTTTAGTTTATACAATGTTTTATCTTAAATGTATTTTTATTATATAATTTTTAATTATTATTTTCTTAGAATAATTTTTTTTTTTGAATATTTCAAATGATTAATTTAATATTCTTTTTTAATTTATATATAAACAAATTGTCTTAGTTTTTATTTTATATATTAGAAATCAGATGCCTTCAAAAATATTTATATTATTAATATTATATTACTTGTTTACATATTTATTTATTTTTTTAAAACTTAATAAATAAAAAAAGGCCCTTTTTCCATTTTTTTTAATGATTGAGATTTTTTAAAAATTAATATAAAAAAACAAAAAAATATATAAACAAATAATATATGAAAAGTTTCAGAACTATTTTTTTATAGATTTCTAACAATAAAATATAAGAAAAATAATTTAATTTGTATTAAATTTATTTATATAAATTGTTGAAATTTTTTTTTTTTTTTTCTCAATCAACAAAAAGAAGAGTAAAATTGATAACTATTTTTATTTTGATAAAATATAAATAAATAAAAATATAAAATAAAAAATTAACTTTAATTGTATATTTTTAATAATTTATATACTTATAAAAATTATATTTTTTAATATTTCATATATAAGAATTTTAGTATTTTAATTAATAAAAATGATTATGATGCC